AGTAAGATTCAACTTTTTCATTAATCAGCATGCACCTTATCTACATGTATATATTGACTATATATACTCTGGACTGTACTACTCGACACCTTATTATTAATTTAACTTAGTTGGTTGGTGATATTTGCAGGTTTTGGGACCAATCTTTTAAATGTTTTATTTCTTCAAAGTGTGTGATCGTTTTTAAAACAACTATTTTCTTATATATAAATTAAATAAACCAAAAAAGTATATATTCAACCTTATTAAGTCATGTTTTTTTTAAAAAAAAATAATTTACCTAAAAAGATATTGTCTAGTACTCGCCGCATGTAGGTCGTCTGATTAAATTAGGGACAACTAGACTGAATTATTATACCATTTTTGAAAAGTCATTTGGCTAATATTATTATTCTATAATAGTAATCGAGATATTGTCTAGCATTTTCTTCTGTAGCTTTTAATTAATATATATATTTTTTGAATGTGTTTTGAAAATATATTTTTTGATTAAATGTTTGTTGAAAATAATAACTCAAAAATAACACGTACATTCCAGATAGATCGTCCATTCTTCATTATTTCAATTTAATTTCATTTATATTGGTGATGATTCTCATAGAATGGAGCAATGTGCAACATCATTACTCAACATTTGAATTAAAAGCTTTTGATATAAAGTACTCATTTAATTAATACCAGCTATATACTCTATGAATTAAATTATTACTAGTTACTTTTTTTTTTAATTTTTAAATTTACCAGGTCCAGGGTGTTCATCAATTGGAGGGGGTGCCTTTACAGAACTAGGACCATTTTTTCCTAGAGGTGATGGGCATGGTCTCAGAAGAAATACTAAATCTTGGAATAAAGGTATAGTATTATATTACCTTAATTATGCTACATAATTACAAAAAGAAGAAGATTAATATGTTAATCATATTCTGCATTAACATTTCTTTTTGTTTTGATTTTTAATACAGTATCAAATTTGTTATTTATTGAATCTCCTGTTGGGGTTGGATGGTCTTATTCAAACACATCCAGTGATTATACTTCTGGAGATGAATCTACTGGTATTTATTTAATTTTGTGAAAAGTATGTGGTTAATTATGAAAAAGAGATTAAGGAAAATTAATATTTTCATTTATTTTTTTGAAGCAAAGGATATGCTCAATTTCATGCTTAAATGGTACGAAAAGTTTTCAGAATTAAAATCTAGACCCTTGTTCCTAACGGGTGAAAGTTACGCAGGTACGACGTATATAATACCTGTATGCAATTATTATATACTTACTTGTCATTCTGCGATTTTCAAGAGTCAAATTATACGAACTTAAACTAATATTCTAAATTCGACTTTCTAAATGCTAACTAATTTCCATATTCATTTAAATGATAGGACATTATATACCACAGTTAGCAAATGGCATACTAGACTACAACAAGCAGTCCAAGGATTTTAAGTTTAACCTAAAGGGAGTAGCTGTAAGAATATTAAATTACTCAATTTTTTTTAAAAAATTTAATATTAAAATTATCCCTCCTAATTATTATTTTTATTTATTCAGATTGGAAATCCACTTTTGAGATTAGACAGAGATGTTCCAGCAATGTATGAATATTACTGGTCACATGGAATGATATCAGATGAGTTATTTTTGATAATCAAAGAGAATTGCGATTTCGATGATTATGAATTCCCACTTCCTCATAATGTATCAATTACATGCAATCAAGCTATTGATGAAGCTTATAAACTAGTTACTGACTACGTTAACGTCTACGACGTTATTTTGGATGTTTGTTATCCATCTATCGTTCAACAAGAGCTACGTTTACACAAACAAGTAAGCACTTAATTATAACTGTATATAATAAAGCTAAGTTCAATAACTATGCGTGAAATTAATTATTTGTTGGATTACTAGGTAACTAAGATGAGTATGGGAGTAGATGTTTGCATGACATCAGAAAGATATTTTTATTTCAACCTTCCTGAAGTTCAAAAGGCTCTTCATGCCAATCGTACTAATTTACCTTATGAATGGAGAATGTGCAGTGAGTATGTAATTAATCAAAATTGTTTTGATTTAACTTATAAGAGAATTAATAAATTACACTATTATTTAATTTGTTAATTGTTTTGTGAGACAGCAGGCTGAATTACTCTCAATCAGATGGTGACATCGATATGCTTCCATCCCTCAAAAATATTATTCAACATGATGTACCACTTTGGATATTCAGGTATTAGTGTCCTTCACGATAAATTCACTTATTTTATACAACCACTAGTAGTCAATGAAACATAGATCGTTTCAAGTAATTTAAATCTTGAATTCACTCATTGACATGCGTATAGTGGGGATCAAGACTCTGTGGTACCACTAGTAGGTTCAAGAACATTGGTTCGTGAACTAGCTCGAGATCTAAAGTTCAAGACCACCGTACCCTATGGGGCATGGTTTCACAAAGGGCAAGTAGGAGGATGGCAAATAGAATATGGAGAAAAACTCACATTTGCAACAGTAAGAGGAGCAGCTCATATGGTGCCATATGCACAACCATCAAGGGCTTTGCATCTTTTCACCACATTTGTTCATGGAAAAAGATTGCCTAACACAACTCGTATTCCTATTAATTCATCATCCAATTTGAACAATTATTGAACTAGAAAAACTCACTTCCATTTTTTTTGAAAAAAAAAATGATTGTGTAATAAGTGAGTCCTTTAAAGTTGATTCAAGTGGTTGTCTACTTTTGATATTTTATGTTGTTGTGCATAAATATGAATGGATACATAAGTTTCATGTAACATTCTTCACTTAACTTGAAATTGAGTTGTTGTTAGTTGATATATATCATATTGGGATTTTTATACTGCACAACAGCCAAACAAAGCCTATAATAGTACTAATAACAAAAAAATACTTTATTTTTACAAATTTTATTCGGTATACAGTATATATATAATCGATATATATATTTTAGTATACACACTTACTATACTTATTATGTTGAATATAATCGGCAACGAATACAAACTATTAAGGCTAGATAGATTATTTTTTAAAAACTAGCTGACTAAAAATATTTATTTTAGGAGTCTTTCATCGTTAAATATGGATGTCAAATACGTTATTGTTGACAAATTATGGCAGAGAATATCACATTCCCCTCAAATAAGTACTGATCACGTAAGAGATGCTTTACATGAAAGTTGTGTATCAATACTGTATAAATTTTAGGGCTTTTTTTTGGGCCCATCAATACCAAACTTAATTATTGAATGTTAGCTCAACTATATAAAATGTAGAAAAAATTACTTGGACGAATGTCTTTTAATAAATAATTATTAATTTTTAGCAATATTTTTTCATTTATTATTATTTATAGTAATATATGCAAAAATTGCAATGTGTATTAAAAGTGAATTAAGTATGCATATATGTATTATATTTGTTTTTAAAAACATATCATGTGAGTTTGATATTGACACATTGTATTATAAGTATATTAAATATGTGGTAAATGTATTATCTATCAATAAAATTTGTATTAGGCATGAATAATAAATTGTTCTTTGTAATATAAATTAAGAGTGTATTATGAATATGTTAATAGTGATCAAGTGTAAGAAAAAAATGTTATTGCTACAAATGGTAAATATTTTTTATCTATAGTATATTTATGTACGTTCGTATAGTTGCATTCATGCAATTACACCATTAGTACGAGTCACTTTGTTCAGATAAAACAATGTAATAGTAACAACTAAAGATGAAGCCAATACAAAATGTCGGTTCTTAATTAGTACCATTTTGTCGCTTTCTTTTTTTTAAAAAAATATTTAAAATTCGATATTAAATCAATCTTATATTTTGTTTGATTAATCACGTTTGAATATCTTAAACGCTTTGACGCCCAGAAAATCCAATTACCGTTCGAGTTATACATTCCTATAATCTAAAACTGGAAAAATAATAAAAGGCAGGAATGCCAATCCACATTAAAATTAAAAAAAAAAAAAAAAAAAAAGAGGTTATGAAAATGGTAATAACTGCAGCACCAAATATACAAAACAAAGATATTTAAACGGTTCATCCCATAAATTAAAGGTCCCAAAAATCTATATGTTTTATGTATCAACACGTGAACTCCTACTGACAATTGTATTTATACTTATTAATTAATAAAAAGAAAATCTATTTCGTCACTTGTTTGATGTTTACAAATAGTTGACTGAATTATAATAATGAAAAATTTTAATATTCACTAATGATATTCTTTTTACGAGTTTTCGGTGTTTAAAAATATAAAATATTAACAAAAATTTTAAAATAATATATAAAAAAATTTCATGAAAATCGACGGCACATATCTTCATTTGAAACTTTTTTTTAAAAAAAAAAAATTGCAGCAATTTTGCTTTTTCCGGCGGAAGAAATTGCTATTGTTTCAACGATTTTACCGTGTTGATTAATATAAAATTTTATATACCATTTTTAAATTTTTATTAATATTTTTTATACCCTTAAAACTACGAACTCCTCTTTTTACGTAATCGGATTGTATAAAAATGTATTTTATTTATATTTACAACTCCTTAACGTAACCTTAGATCTCATTCCCAAATTAATCATAAAAATATCAGAACATGTTTAAAGACAATAATTCTGATATTGTGTCTTAGTCAGAAATCGTCATCACATAAAATGAACCTATGGAAGTATTACTTTTCAAATTAATGAATTTTCAATTATTACAATGAGATAAATAATAAATAAATATACACATTAATAAAGAAAGCAAAAAAATTATTAATTATTATTAAAAGTATATTTTTAATAATAATAATTAAGTTATTATTTTTAATTAATTACGGTTTCGCAGGACAGAAGAAAACAAAACCCTCAAAACCATGCAATTTGATGTTTGACACCTTGCCATCTCTTTAGTTAAGTGTGGAAAGAGAAACAAAAGATGAAAAAAAATAAAATGTAAAGTTATGTCTACATATAGTGAATAGGTTCAATACACAAACATCACCACCTAATTCTCTATTTCCTCTTCATCTTCTTCTCTTTCTTATATATTTTTCCTTTCCAAGAATTCATTTTTATAGTACTAATTTTAAAAATGGCACTCATATTTTTCATTCTAATTTTAAGCCATCTAGTAGGGATGTCACATGCCCAACTAAAAGTTGGTTTTTATGGCAAAACATGTCCTGAAGCTGAGAATATTGTTACCAATGTTGTACGTCAAGTTGCTGCCTCCACCCAAAATATTGCTCCTGTTTTGCTTAGGCTTCATTTCCATGATTGTTTCGTTCAGGTTAGTTTTCTCTTAAATTTACTAGTCAAACACAAATTCAGAATTTAGAGTCAGTGCGCGCACTAAACACTTCTTTCCTTGAAATTTATATATGTAAAAATGATTCGAGTTAAATTGATCAGGGGTGTGATGGATCAATTTTGTTAGAAAATGGGGAAATTGGAGAAAGACATGCATTTGGACATCAAGGAGTTCAAGGATTTGATGTAATTGAAAGAGCCAAGCAAGAAATAGAAAAAGTGTGCCCTGGCATTGTGTCTTGTGCTGATATTGTTGCTTTGGCCGCTAGAGATGCTGTTGTTGTGGTTATTTTTTTTTTTCACTACACTGTTGAATTTTTTTTCATTGTGACAAATTTATTGTTTTATTAATGTATATATAATAAATGTTCAACAGGCTAATGGACCTTCCTATGAGGTGGAAACAGGAAGAAGAGATGGATTGATATCAAATTTAACATTAGCAGCTAACATGCCGGATGTTAGCGAGTCTATTCAGATACTCAAAGCTAAATTTTCCCAAAAAGGTCTTTCGGAGAAAGACCTCGTCGTCCTAAGTGGTAATTTATCTATTACAATAGATAACTCGATGTTATAATAACCTTACTATATATAGTCAATTAAAGCTGATATAGCGTATGTTTCACCCTTAATTAGAGATCTCGAGTTTAAGGTCTTGGTATATGAAAAATCCTATTGGGAGCGTCGCTTTCGAATACGCCCTACAGAGCACGATCCAAATTTAATCGAAATTTCTATGTGGGCTTTGAATAACGAGTGAAAAATCAAAAAAAAAACTTAGGATAAAACTTTTTGTTATATAAGTTTACTACCCTACACCCACCACCCAAAAAAAAAAAAACTCACAAACTTTGTGGGTTTTTCTAGGTTTGGTAGACATTGAAGGGAATGTGAACATTGTCATTAGCTATGACACGATTTTGGACCTTTCTGTTTTTTAATAGTACTTTTTTTTCTTCTAATTAGATCCTTAATTAATCATATTTTAAGATAATTAGGACTTTCACTTTTAATGGTACATTTTTTTTGAGAATCTGACACGGAGGAAACAATAAGAGTCTAAGTAGTAACCGCAGATCACGAGATAATTACTCAATTAGGAAATGGACCACCTAAAAAACCATATCCATATTACTTAATGCAATCACCAATTTACACATGATTCTTGTGTTATCTATCGACTATTAATAAGCTAAGACATGTTAAATTTAATTAATATTTTTTATACTGTCAGTGATAGGTTTTTTTTTGCAGCTGCACATACAATTGGTACCACAGCATGTTTCTTCATGACACAAAGGTTATACGATTTTGTGCCTGGAGGAGGTTCTGATCCATCCATTGATCCAAGTTTTCTCCCTGAACTAATGGCAGCTTGTCCACGAAACGGAGATGTTAATGCTCGATTATCGATGGATCGGGGAAGCAGTGAGGAGTTTGATAACAATATTTTACAAAATGTAAGGAGTGGGTTCGCTGTGTTACGATCTGATGCTAGTTTATACGAAGATGTGGACACAAGGAATATTGTGGATTCTTATTTTGGGATTTTTAGCCCATTTTTGGGGACGTCTTTTGAGGATGATTTTGCTAATGCAATGGTCAAAATGGGCAGAATTGATGTGCTAACTGGAAAACAAGGCAAAATTAGAAGTGTATGTTCCACATTTTGATTCAAAAGCATATATTCTACTTGTTTGTATTAAGAAATAAATTTGGAGATAATTGGGTATATTATGTAAAAAGAATGAGGAAAATTTCATAAATATACAATGTTTCATTTGTATCAAATATAATCTAAAGTTTTCAATTATATGAAGAAAAATAAGTCTAAAATTAGTGATACATGTATTAAGTAACAAATGGTTATACGTATCAATATGTATGACAATTATTTATACATCTATATACATTAATGGTACAATAAAGTATATTACATCGCACACTAATTTATTTTTCAATTTCAACCAATTTAAATTTCTTAAATAATCTCAAAATTTAGAAATAAGCTCTTTTTGGTATTTCGAGTTATTATTCACTTAGAAACGATTTTTATACTAAGAAACTTTGCATAAGGAGGAGGAAGAGGTGGATGAGGAAACAAAAAGAGAAGAAGTCATTAATGGTGAACGACCATTTTTGGTAAAAAAAGAAAAAAAAAAGATAATTGGATTAATTTGGGTAAGAAATTTTGACTTAATAAAAATATTATCTAAATTTTTCGATCATTTTGATTCGTCCAAATTTAACCCGACTTTTGCTATCTCTATTCGTATCATGCGGTTTGTATAAAAACTTGAATTTTTATGTGTTTTATTGCAAACTTGTTTTTATTCCTGCAGTGATATCTGCAATTCTGTTGAAAATACAACTCTGGAATATTTAAATTCTTTAAAATGAATTCACGAGAAGCCTACAAGTATCCAACACTCTTACCACCTGTAACATTGGTGAAATTTTTTATTTTAAACATTAATTAAAGTTGTACCCGTGACCTATATTGAGCTGGCAATTATTTACCAAAATGATAAAAATAATTGAGCTGGAAAATCCTCCAAAAATTATTAGGAAGCAAACTATTTATGTTGGCTTTTGTAATTTTTTTACTACATTACTGTTCACATTAGTAAACACAACTAAATTGACACTTTGTAATTACGAGAACTGTGATAGAGTGGTGTATAAGTTAAGAGGTCACGAGTTTAAGTTTTGTTAGATACAAAGTTATTTTTGTTAGAAAATGATTTATTCAATATAAAATTTTCTAATATAAATTTAAATTTAATCGAACTCTAATGATATAAAAATTGAGTGGAAACCAAAATAAAAATATTAACACGATCTTTTTTTGTATCTATATTGAGAGGGAAATTATTGTTCCCAATTTGCATACGGCTCTTTACAACAACTTAATAAGCACTACAAAAGAGGAAAAAATCAAAATTTACAGCAAAAAAAAACTTTATAACAATGCATATTTTTTTTTATTACAAAAAAAATAAAAATGAGAGTGGTTTCTTTTGTATGTTTGTCATTCTCAATTTGTTTACGCTTCTTTGGAAACTCCAAAACATTCATCAACGCTATTTACGTCAGCTAACAATTTTTTCAAACTTAAAATATATCATTTTTTATTCTCAAATTTAATTTTGTGAAATATTCTATGAAAATATGTTGTAGGTCCCACATCACTTAGGATCAAACTAACAAAAAGAAAAAAAAAGGAGTTTTTTTTTACCAATTACCTCACCGTATACTCACTTGTCACAGTAATATAAAAAATAAATAAATATATATATTAATACAAAATATTATTAATATTTTACTTGCATTAATTAATTATCGTTAAATTTATTTTTATTATAAATTTTAGAAATATTCATAAATATAATTAATGATAATTAAATTTAACGTTGATAATATTATTAAAAACTTTAGACTGCACCGAACAAATAAATTTGTATCCATTCTACCAGCCACCTGACGATTCGTCCTATTATGGATCAGATTATGTCAGATATTTCTCGTTAGGTGGTTGTTAAAATAAATTAGCCTAACAATCAAATGATAAAATGAAACTTACTAACAGAATCTCTGGAATAGTATTTTTTTTTTAATTATAAGATTTAAAATTTATGGATTTCTTCTATAATTTTAAGTTAGTATATAATAATAATTGAATTTTTTAATTAGATATTTAATGAACAGATGAGCAAAAATTAATGAATTCTCGACAAACTGGATCTCTATTATTTCTCTGGGATTTTTTTTTAATTTCTTATATATATATATTATCGGTTCACGTGTAAAATAATAGAAATATATGGTAATTTATTGATTAAAATAAAAGTGGGTGGTTGCCTTAAAATGTTGAATAATAATCGTTTCTCTTGGTGCAAATTATAAAAGGTTTTAAGACAGAATTACATTGATCGCAAGTAGTATATCTGTTTTTGGAAAAATATTTCCATTAGCCTCCTCAAAATGATGCTAAAGAAGAGGATATTTCTACGGTCGTTAGATTCGCCCAATTTAAGCTGACACAAAAGGAAACAAACAACAATATAATTTCATCTTCTTCAACAATAAACCTGAATAATATTTCAAACATTCACATCAGTGTACGTCTGACCACAAAATCAGGTATAGTTTTTCATGCATGCATGCACGTAAAATCTTCATTACACAATATTAAGGGTTGTTTTTGTTTCGTTTGTTCGATCAGGTTAACAGTAGTGCCATCCTTGTCCTTTGAAGAGAAAAATTATCGGACTCATGGGTTCAAGCAAGCTTAGACAAGCAATAGGGGCAGTTAAGGACCAGACGAGCATAAGTCTGGCCAAAGTAGGCAGTAGCGCCTCCTTGTCCGATCTTGAAGTTGCCATCGTGAAGGCGACACGACACGATGAGTACCCACCAGAGGAGAGACATATAAGGGAGATTCTAAGCTTGACTTCTTATTCTCGAGCCTATGTTGGTGCATGTGTCAATTTCCTTTCCAGACGCCTTAGCAAGACCAAGAATTGGGTTGTGGCGCTTAAGGCACTCATGTTGATCCATAGGCTCTTATGTGATGGAGATCCATCCTATGAGGAAGAGATTTTCTTTGCCACAAGGAGAGGAACAAGGCTTCTCAACATGTCTGATTTTCGTGACTCCAGATCAAACTCCTGGGATTGTTCTGCTTTTGTACGATCTTATGCTTTGTACCTTGACGAACATTTGGAGTTTAGGATGCAGAACCGTAGGGGAAAACGCAGTGCATTTGCATACAATGACGATGAAGAAGAGGTTCGGCATAATGCCAGGGGTATAAAAGCCACACCCCTCAGGGAAATGAAGAATGATCGAATTTTCTCAAGAATTCATCATCTCATGCAGCTTCTTGAGCGATTCTTAGCCTGTCGACCTGCAGGTTTGTATCCCTTCAATTTCCAAATTCCAGGATAATACCTTGATCGAAGAATATCAAATGCCAATTTTACCGAACAAAATTCCACTATATGTTTCAGGTTCTGCAAAGAACAGTCGAGTGGTGATTGCGGCTCTATATGCGTTAGTCAAGGAAAGTTTCCAGCTATATTATGATTTAACAGAAATCACGACTCTCTTGTTTGATAAGTTCATAGAACTATCAATCCCAGACTCTGTGAAGGTTCTTGAGATATTCTTCAGAATTAATAAGCAATTTGAGGAGATTGAACAGTTCTACGATTGGAGTAAAACAGTTGGAGTTACACGTACGACGGAATATCCAGATATTGAGATCATTCCACCAAAGAAACTCGAGCGCATGGATGACCTTATACGAGAAAAATCCTTCAAGGAACAGACCAGGAAGGCAATGCGGAACGAACCAACTGCTGAGCACGTTCGAGAAACTAAAACGCCAGAACCTAAAACTGAACCTGAAGAGGACATCAATGCAATCAAGGCATTACCAGCACCAGAGGTATCACCCGAAGAAAAGACAGAGGAACAGGAAGAGAAGGCGGTGAAAACCCAAGATGAAGGAGACTTGTTAAACTTGAGTGAAGATGTTCCAACTTCAGAAGAACATGGAGATCAACTGGCACTAGCGCTGTTTGATGGTGGTCAAGCAACGACCAATCCTGCAACAAGCATTTCACCATGGCAAGCGTTCAATGATTCAGGAGATTGGGAGACAGCACTGGTGCAGTCCGCGAGTCATTTATCAAACCAGAAGACCTCCCTCCCTGGGGGCTTCGACACATTAATGCTCAATGGCATGTACCAACAAGGAACAGTGTCTCAGGCAGTAGCCTGCTCAGGTGTCGTGGCTACTGGAAGTGCAAGCAGCGTTGCACTTGGCTCAGCAGGACGGCCAGCAATGCTAGCATTGCCTGCACCTCCAACCGCAAACAGTGGAGCTAATACACCCGCTCCAGGCACAGATCCTTTTGCAGCTTCACTGGCAATAGCTCCCCCGGCATATGTTCAGATGTCCGAGATGGAGAAGAAACAGAGACTACTAATGGAAGAGCAGTTCATGTGGCAAGAGTATCAGAAAAATGGAATGCAAGGACAGGTAGGATTTGCCAATGTGCAGACAAACCCTTACCCGTATAACGTGGGTGGTTACAGACAAACCTTCTAAAGATTTCACTAATAAGATATACAACAATGTAATGTCGTTTTCCCTGTGGTCAGCGGAATCTCAGTAAAAGGTCAAGTCATGATATTGTCCAGAAAGAAAGTGGCATCGGGAAGAAGAGCTATGCAAGTTCACATCTAACCATTGTCTGCATTGCCATCTTTCTCAGGAAGTCAGTTAAGCTACAATATTGTAGTATGAGAACTGCAAAACTACATGTAGACAAGATCCATTATCAGTGTACAGAATGTAACATTTTCTTAAAACAAATTGCTAGTGACAAGTTATACAATACCGTGCCTTTTACATCATAAGAAATGACAAATTGATCACAGCAATGAACGGTAGCAAATGCTATAAATGTTATTAGTATATTCATTCTTGAAAAATGAAGAAAATTACTAATTAACATAATTTAGCAGACACGCCATAGAAGTTACAAACTACGCACAATAATCAGCTTGAATACTTCGTCCAATCATCTAGGACTAATCTCTACACAGTTGACAAAGATATCAAACTCATAATGAAAGGTTTCTTAAATTTGGCAGCTTCACGCTACCCTGCTTCTTTACGGAGACACCCAACTGCATTCCTACGGTTACCAAGGTCTCTAGTGATCTTCCACTGTTTTCCAGGAGATCCTCATCTAT